ATATATGTACCATGCAACATTTTAATCCGCAACTAGATATAATTTCTACTTATAAGTATGATAATCGGATGAAAGTATAAATAATTTATGTATGATCAAAACTTACTCTGAAGTTGGGTGAATGTTGACGGTGATATATCAAGTAACGCTAATTGATAATGCTTTAATGATGCTTTATATTCACCAACTACTTTGAGCATAAACCCGAGACGCAAATGAGCCTCATTCGCACATGAAAAACAAGGATTCAAGTACAATAATTGTTGAAATGCTCTTATTGCCCTGAAAATAAAAGAAATAAAAATATTTTACAAGTGCACTAAAAATTTTCTCATAATAATACTAAATATATATACGTACATATTAACAACAATATACAAGTGTACAACAAATTGTGTACATTCATATGTGTATAATTTTCACTCATTCAACACATATACAACAACGTCAAATTAACAAAATAAATGCTAAATGTATCATAATAAATGCCAAATTTATCATAATATATGCTAGACTCATCATAATAAATGCTCAAGTTATTATAATAATTGCTATTGTACATAATAAATTGTAATACATCGTAGTATATCGCAGTGCCACAATAGAATAATGCTAATCACTTTAAAAAATTCTTTAATAATCACTGCAAAACACAGACCATAACTATTTATTCAAAGCTAACAGATTGGTTAACTCTGCTGTCCAGGAAACTTTTGGGTAAGTTTAGTTTGAACTTACCCAAAGGTCGTACTAAATATTTTCGAATTGAAAACAAGTTTTTTCTTATTATGATAACTCAGCGTAGTAAAGATATATTTTAAGTTAATAATCGAAATAGCTAGTTTCCGCAGAAATATACAAGCAAAAATATACCCAGATCTAAAAGTCTCATTAAAATTTATACACTTTATAAAGTCTGAGTTGTCTATTTTGACGGAATTACTTATATCTAAAAGTTAAGTGCCATTCACAATTTCCATTGAAGTTTTATCGATCATTATCTTCAGTACCTAGCGACACAGCCTAGGATGGACTACTCATGTTAAAGAGAAATGCTTTTTGGTAGCTTTATTTTTTAAATTATTTTTGGTTTTCGCTTAATTAAATTCAGATATATTTTACTGAGGTCGGTTCACATCTATTCTTATTCCATGTCGTATCAATTTCAATCTGTATGATTTCACACATATCACAGTCTTCATTAACTTCATTAACTAGCGCCATAGCCTGAAATGAACTTATCATTTCAATAAGAAATGTTCTTTATCTTTTGCCTGGTTTATGCTTGGTTGTAGTCAAACATATTTTACTAGAGCCGGCTTATATCTACTGTTACACTATTTGGTGTCCATCTCAATATATTTAATTTTGCATATTTCACACTCTGCTCTTCAATTGTCAGCGGCATACTTTCTCGTTGATTTTAAGTGTATGATTTTATAAACGTCACGATTTGGGCAGAAAACACTATGTAAATATTGGCAGCGATTCCTTGTCATCGGTTGTCATTGTATAAATATCGGCGCCATAGGTTACAGAAATTTAAAGATTTTAAGACCAACAAAATATGATTTATTTGCTTATAAAATAAATTAACTTATATCTACACGTAGGCAAATCAAAGCTTACCTTACCTACTCCTTTCAAATAGTAATTACCAATGTTTATAGTTTGTAGTTGCTGTCTGTTACTGCTTCCTGACAAGCTTATTTTCACAATAACTTTTCTAGACGCTTTGTTGATACTATCGACCTTATAGATCTAATAGACCATTCACGTAAGTTATTTGTAATAAACTCTGATTCATTTGTTATTGTTTAAAACAATATGGTTCTCATTTTTATACATTTTATTAAAACAGCTTTGTTAAAACATCATTCTAACAGATGGTTTTAGATATTACCACTTAAGTTTTTATCTAGAATTACAAAGCTCGAATAATAAATATATAATCTTGGCAAAAGACAAACGGAGTCCGCTTGTTGTAAAATTAAATTGTATGTTCTGTTTTGTATTTTTAAAAAATAAAATTAATGACGAGAATTTTAGTACATTAGAAATTATTGAAATAATCAATTATTTAACAAATGATCACAGACTGACAATGCCTGAGTAATTGTCAATCTGAGTGCATTGTTGTACTGTACTTCCTAATCAGACAGGAACAATTTAATTCCACATCTACCGTATGCCATATTCCACATTATTTTTTGTTCCTTCATCAAAAAGAATTAAAAAGAACTCATTGTGATAAAAAATTTAGGACTGATTACTACAGTAAAATCCTAGTTTGTAGGGTTGAAGAAGAACTTGTACCATTAAAATAAATTTATCTATGGGCCAATAGGCTTAAGTAAGTGCTTATGATCACCGGTTTAACCCCTAGCCTAATTTAAATAATGTCGTCGAGCTATAGAAAACTGTCTGTTAACATCATATATAGTGTTTCACTAGTAACGTAAACTAAAACTTATTATGTTGTAACATGGCATTGTTAGTGCTTCAATAAAGTTTCATAACCTAACATCTCTATGCATGTCAGCCGAAATATTTAGTTTACACAAAAGCATACGTCTTATTAAAATTAGTACACTATTTTATAAGTTCCGAGCTGCCTTTTTCTTCAATCTACAGAGAGCAGTGGTTTCCAAACGCTGGTCCGCGAGATGGTTAAATATAGTTGGTGAATCAAAATCAACAAGTATGGATAGAACACATATGCACACACTGAGACCTCACTTATTAGAAAATAACCATAAAAATTTTCCAATTATATACCTATATAATATACCTAAGCACTTATACAATTCAATACACATTATACCAGAGATGCATAAGGCATATTAAGCAAAAATTCACACAGTTTATTATTCTTAAACTTTGTGGTCTCTAATAAAAACAAAAATGTCATTGTGGTCGGTGGTCCCGGGTCAAAAAAAAGGCCGGGAACAACTGACACCATCACTCGTAGTTAAATCTAAGTGCCGACGACGTAAGATAATGTAGTTATGCTAAACTAATGGTAATCATTAAATATGTGCAATATCTGATGACAATATGTTTAAATGCTTTAACTTACGCTTCAACGTCTTTTTAATTTTTTTATTGACAGGTTAGGTTATCCAATAAATTCTTTTAAATTTAAGTGCAAACAATAATTATTTAAATTTTATAACATAATGATACTAAACGTTTAAACTGTTATTTTGTAATTAGTTAAAAACTTTAAAAAAAAAACTTTAACTATATTTATTTAACCTACTTTTAGCCGTATGTACACATATATTATATATATATATATAAAACACTTGTCGTTGTAATTTGTAAACGAGAGAGAAGTTCAAAAGATATTTATTGGTTAACTGTAATTTAAATTACCACTAATTTAATCTAAATTATAATTTAATTATTTATTTATTCTTTAACACAAAACTCATAGTTCGAAGAAGTATTTCCTGCAAGCGTTCAGATCTGCAAGGAATGAACACATGCTGCGAACAGATATTTTGATATTTTGACACGCACTTTGCAGATGGTTTACATTCATGGAGCTGGGGTCAACGTTTTGAAGTAAAATAATTTGTATCTCTTTATATATCGTGTGCTAAAATCAGCCATTACTGGTTTTGTTTTGTAGTCTTATTCTTTGTTTCTTTTCTTTTGCTATATTTAGGGAATTCTTAAATTAAGGTATGAAGTACAAAGCACGGCTATATGCACATGTGAATGTGACTCAAAAACAAACACTTGGTATGTTTACTTATTTAGTAACCATGTTCAAATATTATTAACACACTTATTCCAGAAAAGAATATATTTCTACATAAAAACAACAATCAAGCTCCACATTTACTTGTTCGACACAAAACCTTATCGACAGCTGTCGGATCGCTGACACTGCTTGTCAATCTTCAAAGACATGAAGTTGGAAACTAATTGCAACTAATGAAACAATGAGTTATTAAGTTAGGTTTTCATTATGAAAGACCTATTTTCATTTTATATTCTCTTTAAAAGTATAAGAATTAAGCTAAACTAAATCTCTTGGAAATTGCAAACACAAAAAAAAAACCCATTAATTTTAGAACTAAGTCTAATGATTAATACGATCAAGTTCTGTGAATAGCTTCACAAACCCTTTTAATAGTTTAACTATTTTCATTATTAGTAATATTAAGCCATATAAATTTCTAAAGCTGGGAAACTATTTCAACCGAAATGTAAATTTTGAATTGTTAATTATCTTCCGTTAATTTATAATCATTTCCACTAAATAATATATTGAATGGACGGACATTTACATAAGTTGAGTGTAATCACATGTATTAGTGATAGCACGAAAATATGATAGTGTTTTTATAATGTTAAATTAAGTAAAAAATATATCTAAATCTAAACAAACATAGTACTTTAATAATGAAAATGAAAATTATTAGGATTTAATAACAATTTACTAATTTGTAAATTATTGTTATGAAATTGAAAAAGAAATTAATCTTAAGTTCTAGAAAAAATTCAGCTTATACCCGTATTAAAATTTTATATTAACCCTATGTGTGGAAAATAGAGCTCATCATATATTAAAATATGGGTATGCCATAATATGGGTATGGGTATGCATAATCAAAAACAAAAATGTGCCTTTCCAAGCTTCTTAACCAACAAACACATTTCTAAGTGTTATTACTGAAGCCACATAAGCAGTTAATGAACATTTCCTTGTGCTGTGTGAACAGCTTATTACCTCACGCAAGTATAATGAGTTGACTTTGATTTTGTTCATTTCGCTTGTTTTTTTTTTTTAATGATGATTATATCATATCATAATTTGTACAAAATTAAGTTGAAATCAAGTTTGTAATTTACTATATAAGCCGGCTGCAGTAGGTAGATATGTTAAAAATTAAGTTAAGAGCAAATACATTTCTATAATGCCGAGCACGATTAATCTACAGTCACCACTGTTTTTCATTAATTAGCATGCATTGAAAATGGTTAACTACTATAGAAAAAGATTGCAGTTTTATTATGCATTGGACGAAATTCTCAGGAATAATAAAAATTTCCTCCAAAAGGAAATTTTCTTATTCTTATTTTTTGAAATATTACTGCAATGTTCGCAATTTTCATTTATTAGTGCAAATACTATAAAAACAAAAATGAAAAATAAATAAGATAACAGATAAGACTTACTGTGTGTACAGGCTTTTAATAAAGTAAGCAAACCAGTAAAATCAAATCAAAGTTATTTGTGTCGGGTAAACACAGTATGAAGGTTCAGT